TCCTTTTAAGATTTATCTTTTTGTCTGCCCCTTTGCACTACTTCAGATTGAGAAAAGATAGTACTGAATCAAAAGATGAAGTTGCAGAAGAGTAAAGGGGGATTCATTTACTCAGCTGAACCAACAGGCACTCTTAAAAAACTGTTCAAGAATGAGGGGAAAATGGCCTTGGCAAGCATTCAGGACAGGATGAGATTTTCAAGGTTTTAGAACTTTGTTCAGAAAAATGCATGTACTCAAACTCATCATCACTGAAGGCTTAGCTCACTTCCACTGGAGATTTATTCTGGAAAGAAGATACAGCCTTTTTTTGTTTTCACTTGGAAACAATCATAAGTAAATGCTGTGATGCTTTTCTGAATAATCAGAAAGTCTTAAATGCTGTCAGGTTTATAAAAAAACAAAACAAACAAGCTTATTGTTTTACTACTGTTTGGGAAGCAGAGAAGCATCAACAAGGATGAGGAAAAGGCTGAGGCATTTAATGCTTCCTTTGCCTCAGGCTTTAATAAAAAGACTAGTCATTTTTGGGGCACCCTGCCCCAAGCTGGAAGACAGAGACAGGGAGCAGAAAGAAGTCCCCTTAATTCAAGAGGAAATGGTCAGTGAGCAGCTACACCTGTCAGCTACACACAAGTTTATTGGTCCAGATGGGATCCACCCAAGGGTACAGAAGGAGATGGAAGAAGTGCTCACTGAGCAACCTTCCATCCCTTACCAACAGTATTGGATAAGCAGGGAGGTCTCTGTTATTGCAAGTTAGCAAACGTGAGGCCCATCTACAAGAAGGGCTGTAAGGAGACTCCTGGGAAGCACAGGCCCATCAGCCTGCTTGACATCAGGGCCAGGGAAGATTGTAGAACAGATGATCCTGAGTCCCACCACATGGCACGTGCACAACCACCATGGGACCAGGCCCAGACACCTTGGGTTTGTGTAAGGCAGGTCCTGCTTAGCCAACCTGACTTACTCCTACAACAAGATGACCTGCTCAGTGGATGAGGGCAAGGCTGTGGATGTTGTCTGTCTGGACTTCAGCAAAGCCTGTGACAGTCGCCTACAGCATTCTCCCAGACAAACTGGCTGCTCGTGGCTTGGATGGCTGCACTGTTTGCTGGGTGAAAAGCTGGGCAGCTGAGCCCAGGAATGGTGGTGAGTGGAGTTAACTCCCGCTGGCAGCCAGTCACATGTGGTGTTACCCAGGACTCAGGATGGGGCCTGTTCTGTTTAATAGCTTTAATAATGATCTGGATGAGGGGACCAAGTGCACCCTCGGACAACACCAAGCTGGGCAGGAGAGTTGATCTGCTGGAGGGTAGAAAGGCTCTGCAGAGGGGTCTGGGCAGGCTGGATTGATGGACAATTGAAAAAGGCTCAACAAGACCTGGTGCTGGGTCCTGCACTTGTGTCACAACAACCCCAAGCAGCACTATAGGCTGGGGGCAGAGTAGCTGGAAAGCTGCTTGGTAGAAAAGGACCTGGGGGTGCTGGCCAGCAACCACCAAACATGAGCCAGCTGTGCCCAGATGGCCAAGGCCAGAAGCATCCTGGCCTGGATCAGCAATAGTGTGGCCAGCCAGACAAGGGCTGTGATCTTCTCCTCTATCCAGCACAGGTGAGGTCACACCTCAGTTCAGTTTTGGGCCTCTCACTACAAGAAGGACACTGAAATGCTGGAGTGTGTCCAGAGAAAGGCAGCAAAGCTGGTGAAGGGTCTAGACAATAAGTCATATGAGAAGTGGCTGAAGGAGCTGGGGCTGTTTAACCTGGAGAAAATGAGGTTCACGGAAAATCTTACTGCTCTCTACAAGTAAGAAAAGAGGTTCATAGCCAGGTGGGGGTTGGTCTCTTCTGCCAAGTAAGAAGTGACCAGGCAAGAGGAAACAGCCTCCAGTTGCACCAGGGAGGTTTAGACTGGACGTTCAGACAAGTATTTTTCATATACAAGTATATTTCAAAAGGCTGTCAGGCGTTGGGACAGGCTTGCTGGGGAGTGATTGAGTCCACATCTCCGGAGGTGTTTAAAAAGACATGTAGATGCGGCACTCAGGGACATGGTTTAGTGGCAGATTTGGCAGTGCTGTGTTGACAATTTGACTTGATGATCTTAAGGATCTTTTCCACCCTAAATGATTCTACATCTCTATTTCAAGCCAAAGCAAATCAGATTCACATTTTTCATGACTCTGGTTACATTTTCTCTGCTTCACTGGTACCTTGGTGACATGCTCTGAAGAGCTAACACAATCCCCACACTCAAGCAGAGAGATGCAAGGCAAGCAGAGGAGACTTCTTTTGTTCCAAATGTAACCTACCAGAAGAGTAGCAAAGTAGCTAACTTTGCTACTAACTCCTACCTGTCTGCCAGCTCAAAATACGCAGGAGGAAGGAGAACAAATTGTTTCTTATCCCTTCATGTGAACAAAAGCTTGGTTTCAAAGGTATAAAATGCCAGACAAGAGAAGTGAGTCACTGGACTGATGACCAAAATGGCTGCTCCTGCAAAAATTCACAGATTCCAGTAACGGCTCTGCTGCAATGGCACGTAGAAAGCCTCATGCCTTTTCCTGGGAGGGAGCAGGAAGTTTCACCAAAATAGGATTCTTTAATCTTCAAGCTGATCTTTGAGCCTTTAATGAACCTAGAGCTGACCTAAACCTGCGGTCAGGAGTCAACTGTTGTCTCCTACCCATCCCTGTGCATCTGTCCTGCTCCCCACTGTGCTGGGTGCTCATGCCAAGCTATTGTCTGGAGGTCTTCAGCTGTCAGACAGAAAGCACCACATCATTATTCTGAACCCCATTCTTTTAGTCTGAGGAGTTTTGCATAACTTTTATGTTGAGCTGGCAGAAAAGCTGGGGCAAACTGGAAGAACAGTATTCCATAGACAATCTGAGTCCAGCTAACCAATACAGATAAGAAGGATTCTATAAATTAATAGTTTAAAGAAATCAAGCAAAACTAGAACACTTTCTTAATATTGTAACATTTATGATGTGTATTTAAATCACATCCCAAAATATTTATAAATGTAACATTTATGATGTGTATTTAAATCACATCCCAAAATATTTATAAATGGAATATTTGACAACCCATTTCCTAATGAAATCAGTTTAAAAAAAATAAGTTTAGGATTAAATAACTGAGAAAATATAAAATATGCTACTTCACTATTAAGTATAACACTGCTAATAAATTTTGAAACTAGGGACTAAAACTTTCAGAAATGTTTAATTTATCAGAAAACAAAGAAATGCTGAACACCAGCAAGCAATGTTGCTGGAAATGTTTAATTTATCAGAAAACAAAGAAATGCTGAACACCAGCAAGCAATGTTGCTGCAATTCACTGCTGTCTGATTTAGAAGACTCATCAGCCTTTTCACTACTTTACACCTACTAGTTAAACCAAGGATACTCTCAATAAAAGATATGTTTTCAGGTTTGCAAGGAAAAAACAAAAGAAACTACAAATAATTTTATACATCTTACATAACTGTTCCGTATTTTTTTCAGATTTGTATTGTAAGAAAAATTAAATACAATGTAGATACATCATGTATACACTGCAGAAGAAACATGGTACCTTTGTGGCAAGGATGTACCACTTCATAGGTACAGAAATTTCATTTCTGTACATCATTTCATAGGTACAGAAAATGGGATCCATAGGCAGGAGTAAGAGGTTAAGATTGTTGATCTTTTTCTCTCATACGTAAGTTGAGTACCATCTCTGAAAAATCAGTCTATTCAGGAAACATTCCTTTGACTCTGATGTGTGGCTACTCTTAATCTTGCAGTTTGGAAGAAGAAAGAGATAATTTACCAAAAGTGTGAAGTCCTAATGATTTTTATTTTTTAAAGATACTACATTAGAAATGGAACTCTCAAGGAATCACAAAAGAGAACACAGAAGATCAAAATTTTGTTACACTCTTCTTGTTTCCATGTAAACAAATCGTGCCCATAGTTCAATTTTATATCAAGTGAATTTCCAATTGCTCAAAATATTTTATTTTCTAAGAAAATAAAACTAAACACACCCCTCCCCCAATTTTATAATTTCTTACTATCATGTCTATAGAAGCCTGAAGCCATGCACTCACACTACCATACAAACAAAATGCTGTGTATTTAGACAAGCTCTTGCAAAGATCTGCAGTACATTCATAATCCTACAGAATTTTTTTAAATCTAAGTGCAAGAATCCAATCTGATGGCACAGATATCATGGTTCCTGAATATCATTTCCAGATTAAATTCACAGCCTGGGCAATAACCATCTACAGTCAGCTTTAACCTCTGTATCCCAGCTAAATGTTAACTGGCATCACTCATTCAAGTCCTTCCAAAAATTCCTTAGAAGTTTCATCCAAATTCAATTTTCTTCACATTCTGTGCTATAAAAGTCTCTAGAGCCTTGCTGCATACTTTTAAATATCTGCCAGAAGAAACTGCACTCCCATGATACAAAGCATAATCTGTTTGCATGGTTTAAAAATACTTCCATAGCCTGTGGAATGGGGACTATTTTGTCAGAACAAAATTAAATTGGTTATATTGGTAAAGAGTGATTCCAGGTACAAAATTAATGAACTCAGTGAAGTTTTCAATCTCCTTTTAGTGTCTGGCTATACTCAGATGAAACGTTAACAGAAGTATTCTGCCACTTTTGAAACACAAGTGCACAATTTAAAGATCTAAGCTACCATCTCTTGCATGTTGACTGGAAACATTGTAAATCACAATCATCTCAAGAGGCAAAGGCATATAATAGCATCTTGGCTTTTCACAAACATATTGTACATAATTATGCTACAGAAAGGTGAGTGTGGGGGGAAAAAAACCACTACTTCAGAATGTGAATTCTAGTGCCAGAAGGAAGGGGGAAAAAAGTGCATGGTATTGTTTATGAGAAAAAGAGGGAAAGTGTTCTATGCATTACAATTAATAAAACTCAGAGAAAAATATTTTTGACAAAAAAAAAAAATGCCTTACCTTGAAAAGTTGAGGAAATGAACATGTCTAGTGAATAAATAGGGCTGCTCAGCAGTGCTTATGTTTTTAATCAATTCCATCTAAAAAGAATTAACAAATCAAATTCGTTACATCAATGCACAATTTGAGACAAACATAAAACTTTCAAACAATATATGATGATATAATTTTCAAGTTTGAATCACTCAGGACCTCCTTCCCCACTATCCCTCCCGAATACTGTCATCAAGATAGCATGATTAATATTTTATGTCTAAGCAAGAAAGGTTGAGCTGCAGACACCATTCTGCTACCATGGAGCTTAGGTACTTCCAAAATACTTCCAGAAGTGGGTATCAGTTTAAAGAAAGGCATAAACTAAAGGAAAAATCTAAACTCTTTCTAAATCTGCAAGAGCTTTCCAAATGGCAGCTGCCCTATGAAGACACTAGCTCTATTCACCCCAATGCCAAAAATGTAAAATGTCTGCAACTGTAGCAGAAAGTGGGAGCTGGGCCAATGGCCATTTCTGTGTAACAATAAATGCTGCCAGCACAGCCAAGACACCAACTGATTTGCTTGTTTAAATATAGAAATTGGGGCTTGCAATTGCTTTTCCTATTACAATAAATTAGGAGTATAAATTAAATAAGCACTTTTAGAAAGATGCTGCTGCATTCCAGTTCAGGCCCATTCATAAAATGTTAATTTTTTAAAAAAATAAAAAAATAATTCAAATTTTCAGACTATGAAAATAGAATTATGTAAACAATACCATGGATATGATCATCTATTTTGTGTCAGCTAAGCTCTAGCTATGATTTATAGGAAACTGGAAGTGCCTAGTGAAGCATCATGCAATAGAGTCAATGTCTCTGTTAATTTTACTTCCTTCTTACTAACTTCCTAAGATTTATTTTTCAGTTTTCTGTTCTGTGTTCAAACACAGGCTATGTTATGGACACTGAACATAAATGACTTGAAATGACAGGTTTATTGATTTTACAAACTGGGTAGTGGAAAGCAATTCATACACTGGGAAAAAAAAGAGGTAAGTCCGTGAACCATATGTTCTGATTTGAATCATATTAATTTATGCACTAAATTTTAACACCATTAAGGAGACATTAATTTAAAAATTTATTTTTTAAAACTTGAATGCTACAGTTGACATAAATAAAATAAGCAAAAACATGGAGTCCAGCCTGTTGTGTGGTCAAAATAAAGTGACTGGCATGTGTGGAATTACTAGCAGCAAAAAGAGCATGGTAAAACATTCTGCCTTTGCCACAGCAAATGCTGAACCATAGAGACAGCAGTTGCCAAATTTTTTCCCTTTCTAATGTCCAGTTTCAACAGACTGATATTTTGCCATGGTTTTTATAATGTGGCATCTTACTGCTTCTTATCCATCTTGCATCCTCTACTTTTTCCCAGTGCACATAACCTGCCTTCTTCTTTCAGCTAACACAAGCTACAGCCATTTAACTGCTGGGAATGAATAAAGAACTGCACACACTTATAGACTTTCTTTACTTTCCCTTTGTCTTCAACAATTCTATACACATACATGTATGAGAACTACTGAAGCAAACAGTTCAGCTTGTTCCATCTTCTCAGGATGGACCTTTTCCTGTCCATCAGGAGTACAAGGAAGGAATTGAACACATCAAGGAATATTAGGTACAGAACCTAATATACATCACGGCGTAATAGCATATTAGGTTTGAGAAAGTATAGCAAGGTATGTTACATTTGAAAAAGGCTGTAAACCCAAAGAAATGGAACATAAGATCACTGAAAGAAAGACAGTATAAAGGGAAAAGAGATACAAGAGAATACGGAAAAAAGATGTGCAGTTAAAAAATAAATAAATTAAAAACAAAGGAAGGAAACGGCATCCCTTACTTATGTAGTCCAATTTGGAGTCTGGACTGCTTGATTCAAGCACAAACAGGTCTTTGCACAGCTTCTTCAATACAATATAAATGCATTGGGCAAGAAATTCATAAACCTGAAGAGCAAAGCTTGTCCAGATCAGAATTAGAAGGCCCAGAAAGCTTTCTAACACTTAGCACAAATGAACTGAATATTGTTTTTTCATGCTCTGAAGAGACAAAGGCTTTCCTAGCAAACAAAGGTGTTGACAGTTCTTTAGAACTGACAAGTCACTCTGCCAAAAAATTATATTCTTCATTCACCTTGCAGAATCACAGTAGAAGATCCTGTACCAGATAGAAGTCTGTGTATCAGATGTCTCAAATTGGATTCTGTGGTAGACAACATGCTACTTCTTTTTTTTTTTTTTTTTTTTTTTTTTTTTTACAGAAGAAGTGAAATTCTCAGAACTGTATGAAGTCTCAGGTTATATTTTGCATTTTACTTGTGTTGCTCTATCTGCATGAAGTAAGGAAGGAAGATGGCAGAAGGAAGTTACTGATCTGGTAAAAACTGTTCATGGCTCCACGGTCATCACTGTAATTCCTTCTTGGAATAAATGAAAAAAAATCTTACTAGAGTATAAATATGGAGATACAAAGATACTATCCCCATACAAAGTAACCCCACTAAATCTAAAAGCACAGGCAGCTCCAGTAGAATACTGCTAGATAAACTTAGCTGGGTGTATATGTGAGTGTTACAAAGCACCACACGTGCTTTCCCTTGGCTCACAGCTGTCCCCACGGCTGTCCCAAATTTGCTATCAGGAGGCAGATTCACATCACAGCACTGCCACGTTTCTCACTCTATTTCACCTGATATCAGAGTCCCATGAACCTGCTGCTGGACAAGCACAAGCACCTCAGCTTCAGCAGCAAAGGGAGGCTGGAAAGATGCACACAGTGCAGGACAGCATCTGGCTCCTGGCTTTTTTTTTCATCTCTTGCTACCAGACTCAATCTCTTGACTAAGACAACAGCTTGCTTCAAAGCAGAAACAGAATTTTGTTCTGAGTTAGAGTACCTTCATATTTAGACACTTAATGATCAGCAACTGGACTTGTAAGCAGATGTGGATAAAGCTACAATGTGCACAAGAACAAACAAGCAAAATCCATTCTTCTAAAAACCATGCCAAAAGGGTAAGTAAGGCTCAACTGAAATGACACACAGATGTCAGGAGGGAAAAATAAGTAACTGTAATGGCTCATGGCCACATGCAAATTGTGGCCATATTTCCCATGGGCCTCTCCCTCTCACATCATGCTGTCCTGAACTGATTTCAGTCTAACAACCCAAATGCATTGCTCAGAAAGACATAGTGATCCCTCCTTCCTTCTATGTTAAAGACTATGTTAAAGAAAAAAAAGCACAACAAAAAGAAAAATCATCCAGTGTCTCCCTGAAGAGTAAGTTGGGTTGGTTAGTTTTGTTTGTTAAGATTTTGTTGGTTCGTATGTTTGTTTCTATAAGATGAAACAAGAAAGAAAATAAGATGTAGAGGACCCACAGAGAGCAGAGGATGAGGGCTGAAGAAAACAAGTACTTTTGGATGGAATGAGTGATGAAGGAGAATGACATACAAGTACAGATGGTTGTTTCATCCTAAGTTTGAAAAGAAGTAAAAAGGTGCAAGCAGCAGAAGATAAACAATCCTGGCAAACTCTGCTAGGGAAGAGATGAGCCAGAACACATCCATGGTTGGAGGGAGAAGCTGTAGAAGTATTTTGAGAAATATGAAAGAAGCATGCACCTGCTAGGATTAGGGCCCATAAAGAGCTATTTATCTCTCTCACTACTGCCCAGAGCTCTTCTGCAGGAATTAGGCAGCTTTAGTGAAGCATTGCTGAAAAATACACTGATTTCCTCTTGAAATTAACTTGCAGTGGGCTGGTGCTGCACTGCAAATAACACTCCAGCAGATGGCACCGTGAAATGACGCCAGGAGGGCTGGATGGGGCCCTCCCTGGGAGGGGAGAAACGTGGGGCATGGATTTTCTCTAGCCACAGCATTGTTCCTGCACAAAAACTCAACTCTGGCCTTTGAGACAGGTCATCTTTCTCCCTTCTGGAGACGGCTAGTCCAGTCCCCGTGCTGACCACCCAGAGCAGCCCTGCTTTGTCAGAGGTTTGCAAGAAGTAAATTTTATTTGGAATAAAATGAAATAATCAGGTAACAATCCCACCTGAACAACAGCCTAAATGTTACAATTTTTTTTACGATGCTGCATTTCAGTGTGAGAATCCAAGGTCAAAATGTATAAAAATGGTGAGGCAAGCGGGATTTTCCAAATGCAGTCTTGCATGATCACACTATGGTCTCCACTATTATTGACATGAAAAGGACAAAAAAAATCAACCTCTGTGTATATTTCTTGTATGCTCTTTATGCTCTTCCACTGCTTTCAGTCTCTACTGAAGGCACGTAGTGCTCAGGAGGCACAAGTACCTACAATAATTTTGGTATATCACTTTCATCTCAGTACTCATTTCCATAAACAACCAACTCCCAGGAATGAGACAAGATCTTCATTTTCAGCTCTCAAAAGTTTGGAACTGTTTCAAGAATTTCTTCACCTCCCCAAGCTGGTATGACCAATTTTCTGTCTTTAAAAGCATTTAAGAAAAATTAGTGATGGATTTTTAGTGCATTGAACTGGAATTACACGAAATTGGCTGCACAACCATAATGATGGGTGGTAGAAGGAAACAATTTGAGGATAAACTACCAATTACTCTTGAATGTGACTGGCATTTCTATACCTATAAGCATACTCATTCTTACTTCCCCGAATGCAATAAAACGGAAGTGTAGGACAAAGAGAGGGTAGGGGAAGAGTTAATTTCGAGTTTGAGTGGCATTTTAAAGTCACGGCAATTAGATTAATATTATGTGTTATTTCCTGTATTTAATTTACTTGAAAATATTATAGCAAATGGAAAGCCATATATTAATACATCTGTTTCCAGAACTTACTCCCATATGCCCACAGATGTTCAGAGGCTGCACTTCTAATTGCTGGCAGACACACATAATTTGGGAAAATTTCTTAGTAGGAAGGAGACTGGAAAAGGCAATGAGAATATGGATTCCAATTATGTGCAATCCCCACAGTCATTAAAAACACCTACATGCTTAACTTTATTTAACAACAGCAGACTGCATAAGCTAAATATTTACAGCGAGGTCTTGGCTGGATCAGGGCTCTAACCAAACACAGGACAGAGAAATGAGCAAAGAAGGAAAGACATATCATCTCAAGTGAGAAGCCCATGCTCCTGCTGGAAGCCTACAGCCCAGCCCAGCTCTCTTTTTTCTTGTTCCAATGCCTGGAGCCTGAGATCATTCATTGCCTTAACTTCCTCTTGTGTACACCACATTAAAGGTGGAAAACATAATTTATTTTTTCATATTCTGCTCTTAAAAATTGAGAAGACAACTAAAAATGCCCTGAACAACAGAATAGTTACTGTCTCCAAGCATGTTTTCTGGTGATCAAAGGCACTTTTCAGCAAAAGTACTCATTAAATTATGAGCCTATTGTAACCATGGAAATAAGCCATTAATGAAAATAAATAGACTCAAATTATGGCAGGGCAATCTATAGAGTAAATCATCAGCTCATAGCAATACTTCCAGCACATTTGTTGTCTAGTAACTTAACAGCTTAGGGAGTGCGAAAGGTAATGCAGATAATTATCTGTCAGTGCATTGGTTGCATCAAAAGTAAGTCTGGGCCTCTCTGGAATCTCCATATGCTGGACTAAAGCACAGAAGACTGTGGAGAATTGATCTTGTATCAGGTTTTAATAAAGGAAAATCCACCTACCAGAGAAAGACAGAACTGAAAGGAAGAAGCTGATCATGGTGAAAGCTGGTGATTACTAAAATCCTGAAAGATTTTTGGGATTTATGGCACATCCTCCAATCAGCAAGGAAAATTGATGAAAGACATTCATCAGTTCAATCAAACAGCTCAAAACGCAGAAGCAGTCCTACCCACAGAATTCCCATATCCCAGCAGAAAAACTAACTAGACAGGCCCAGTAGCAAGGGATAGTTTGATTCCTTTCACCATATTGCAACCTTTCCAGGCCGCGTGGTGGTGCTGCTGGTAGGATACACACAGGGATGCTGTAGCAGAGGCAGAGCAAGCCTTCCCTTGGCCACAAGCAGGGGCAGTGAGGGGACACTGTCCCCCTTCCACAGCCTGTCACTGGCGTGCCACAAGCATGTACCTAACCATGCATAGCAGCCGCATTTGGGCTGGTGCGGCAACCCTGCCCAGCTGGATCCCACCTCTGAACTTCACTTATGGAGTTAGGTCATCCAGCTGCAGTGGGACCACAAGGGACACCTTGAAGAGGAGTAAGGTGGAACCTGCAGGAGCAATATCAGCTCCTATATGTTCATTTGGAATGAACTGCTGCATCTAAAATAACAAACTTGTACTCATGAACAGGCTGCAAGTAAATGACCCCCAATCACAGCACAATGTCACTGGCAGGCCCACATCCATATTTTGATCATTGCACACATCCTTTTGTGGTTTGCAGGCTGCTATTTCTAGAAGTGACACAAGCAGCAATTGCAGCCTTTACCTGAACAGTAGCTCAAAATAGCAGCAGTGGGCAATGTGTGCAGCATCCGACTACAGACGTGCACTTTGAGTCTGAGGTTTTCCTGCACTATTTGTATCAACCTGCTAACAGAGTGATACTTACAGTGGGTACATGTGCACCCTGGAGAGAAGAAAATTTAAGTAACTGCATCTTTCATAGAAAAAAAGCTACCAAAATAATTCTTCTACAACTTGAAGGAAACGAAAGGGTGCATGGGTAAAGAGGTTTCGTGTGGTATTTTCACTTCTCTCAGTGAGGTTTGTGCAATAAACATGAAAAAGACAGATCACCAAGAAGCTCAGATAGGATCAAGGACATGTCATATTATAGCAACATGGGTTAGCATGGCCCTGGGAAACAACTTTTTGAAGCAACTGATTACTAAAGTGAATTAAGAAAGTCAGCAAAAAAGACCCTTTTGGCTATTCACTTCAGTTCTGTTTAAGACCCAAGCTAGGTCTGAATAAGCTGTTCTGGTTATACTATAAAGGGCCGTGCCCTGCAGATACATTAATACATGTCCCAGATCTGTTAGCACTTTACTTCACTGTACTAACCTTTCTTGCCTCACTGGTAGTCTAACTACTATGCTGACTAAATTCAAGAGCTGTCTCACTGGAAGTAAGTTTTTCTTAGCTTGGTGGTTAGCTGCCACATCATGTTGCTCTTGGCTCTGGCACTCGTTTCTCTTATTAAGTGAAGTTTCTCTTATTAAGTGAAGTCACTTAGAGAATGATGAATTCTGCATGATTACTCAGAACAAAGTAGCAATGCATCTTTTCAGTAGGATTATCTGCTAGCATATGCCTTTGTATCTCAGTTTCATACACGTAATAAGAAAACAGGATCGAAGATGAGCGGGAGTAACTTACCTGCTCATTTTTAGTCAGTCTTGTTTTGTTATGTATGTCAGATGTAACCAGGTTGAATCCATGTTTCTCTGATAAAATTCTCAAAAGCAAAACCACAGTTCGACTCCCACACTTTCCAACTCTGTTGTAGACCACCTGACTGGGGAAAGGAAGTACCTAAACAAAGATCAAAAAAAATGGAGTCAGTATATTGATATTTTTGTTTCTGTGTACCTCTGAATCACATGTTTTTGCCTTAAACCAACAGACACATAGTGGAGAGTTTCTAGGGATAGCTCTTCAGAAGAGAAACAGCATAGTCCAGGGGGGTGGCAAGGTGAGATTTCCCCCTTGAGATGTAGTTAAATGTAACAGATTGGCAACTACTCCAGAAATACTACATAATTGTTGGCAATGATGTTGAGCTTACTGCTTGTAATCTCAATGCAAATAGTCATCTTCAGTTGACTATCTCCCATTTAAAGAATTAAAAGGAGTGAATATGCACTACAGTTTGCAACTCAAAGTCAAGCTGACATAATGCAGGAGGAATGAATGCCTGAATTGCAAAACTTCAGCTTAAAAAGAAACATAAGAAACCAAACAACAACCATTTGCACAGAACTAAATTTAATCAACCCTTTCAATTTCAAATATAAACATGAATCTTTCAAACAGACTCAGAGAACAAGTCATGCCACTGGCCAAGGGCCTATTTGCAGAATAATCAACACAGGGCCACAGGGGGCCTGAGGCCAACTGGCACAGTCTGATCACCTCTGTACTGGTAATGGTCACTAAATTAAATAAACAAAATACAATTTAATTTATTTTATTTATTAAATAAATAAAGCACTAAATAAAACAGCCACCTGTTCTACACTGATCCAACCTGGGCACTGGGAATGGTGTCCAGCCCACACTAACTCTTGCACCCTGCTCTCCTCCTCAGGAAACCAGAACAAGGGAAAAGGCAGTCAGTGCCTCGCAGTACGACAGATGCAGCCTTATTTTGTTCCTGAATGAAGTTCATGGGCTATTGTTTCAGCAAAAGGCATTCTAAAGTCACTACTGCACCAGACAAGTATTTGCTGTGCATCATATAGCAGCATAGGATAATATAGGTCCAGAGGAAACTGTTTAAAGGCTTCCAAAGGAAGTCTTTAAATTAGCAAACAAGAGTATGTAGCTCAGTTTCACTCACAGTGGTGCATATACAGCATTTAAGGAAAGATTGTTTTTCTATTAAGACAATAGCATGAAATGTTTCCTGACATAGGGCCTGCACCTGGGTTCCAGGCAACCTGTGTTCAGCACAAGGAATGGCCAAAGGAATGGTGTGCCTCAACATAGTTACTCCTGCAATCATGTTCTCCCAGCAGAGGATTTCTAACATAAAAGCAGTCAGATGAGGCATATGGCGCTATCAGTGCAGAGTACTTCTTCATGCATTTGAAATGCTAACAGATCTTCATGAGAGAAGAAAAATGAGTCATCAGGCAACCCTTCAGACTACTTTCAAAAAGAACTGCCAACTAGAATGGAGAAAAAAAGGAAAAAATCTGTATTCCCTTATATTTAACGGGAACCTACTGGCACTTTGCCCTCAGTGTTACATTTCATGACCAAATGAATATTACTGCTGTTACTGGTTGCAATATTTTGGATATCCTGCACTGCAACATAAACATGGAGGTTATTTTTTCCCCAAATTACCTCGGGAAGGAGTAGAGTTAGGGTGATTATGGCCTCAGTTAAACTTTCCAGGGCATAGCAGCTGCTGATTCAGCAAGCAAAGGACATCTCAAGGCTCATACAAAACCCACACAACGCACTAAGTCTTACTATTTTGTAACATTTTTATAGGGTTTCCTATGAGAAACATAGTCCCCATATTTCTTTATCAATCTTTCCTTCAGAAGCCTTGTTTCCTATGAAAAGCAAAATCTCAGCCTCAATTATTAGAGAACTCCAAAGGTGATGAATTTAACATCTCTGCACTACAGCTGTAGCTAACCTTTCCCAAAACTACTGTTAATGGTGAAAGGTTAACATTTGAACACATTTTATTATGCTGATTATCACACCATAATGAAAAAAAACACGAGCCCTAATCTGGATTGCCCCCTTTTTGGTTCATTTCTTTGCATAACAAACACTAGCATTGTTTGTCACACTTCTCACAGCCCTGCAGCACCATCCACACATCACTGCAACTTGTGGATTGGGAATTACTCCTCTGCTCAGACATATGTTTTTGGAATACTTTGCTGTGTAAGTAAGTGAAAGCCTTCAAGAGAAATGATAAGTAGATGCTGACAAGTGCCAGTGAAGGAGCAAGAACACATACACTATGTGTTTCCCTAGCATCCCAGAAATTAGATGAATGATGAGAGTTTGTAGAGTTATGGAAATATTTTTAAATGCTTCAGAATTATTAATTGCTTTGATTTTCCTAGCAGTTTGGACTAGGCAAGACCATGAGTAAAATTTTTTCTTTATTAGTACTTCAGTCACATACAATTTTACTGCATGCAGATGACACTCAAGTTCTAATTAAATCCTTAACTGGATTATTCAGTAACTTCGGGTGAATTTTCTAATTCTTTAAAAACTAGGTAAAATTAAAGGAAACCTTTGTAAATTCTCTATTCTAACTGAAAATAAATTTGTCAGCTTGAAAAAATGACAGTAGTTACCGAGTTTGGCCGGTTCTCACATTTGTTTCTGAAACTCACCTTCCTAGGTGGCACAATTCTGTTCTGCACACAAACAATAACCATGGTAACCCCCAAAAAGAAACCACAGCAAATACTCACTGCAGATAAAGGAACCTGAAATAAAGGGCTATTATTTTCAGATACTTGTTTAGCTTAAAGGAGACCAATGTATCAATGCCTTGCTTCAGTACACAGTGAATGCACTTAGGCCTAATCGGGCAAGATTCAAGATTAACACTACAACTCAAAGCTCACTTCAGAAGAACAATCATGAGTAGTAACCAAAACTTCCCTTGCAGCACTGCTGAGTGTGGTTGGTTTTCGGGGTGCATTCCTGAAGCTCTGCTCATATTTCGTCCATTTACGTCACCATTGCACTTATCGCACCCAAATGCCCCAAAGGATGTGTCCAGTGCACAAAGCCATGCAGCACACAGGCTTTTGGTGCACAAGCAACTATTTGTTTAATGTGACCAGTTCCCTTTGGATGCTGTAAATATGCTTTCTGCATTTAGAAAATGTTGAAGTTATTTCTGAGAAGAAATACCTCTTCCAGAAACATGACTTTGTACCAGGCAAACCTAAAGATGCAAGAAATAGAAAACTTCTCCTCACGATGCTCACAAGACACTCTGACAATACAAGAGATGGTGGCAGAGAAGGAACTTCTCCTATTGTATAGGAGAGCCAAAGAAGGCTCCTATTGTATTAGCAGAAACAAGGTGAAAAACAGCTGTTGGATGTTTACAAAATGCTAAATGGATTACATGTATTATAACTTACTACCTAAGAGTGGGTATCATGAAGACTGACTAACTGCTGAGATGATGCTCTGGCAACTTGATATTCATGTAACAATATACACAACTGCAAAATAATTGCAGAGTGACTTTACTGAGCACTGCATCAAAGCCCAGAGGCAATATAAACAATTCAAACAGATAATTCACTTTGGAGTTACACAAATTAGCACTTACAGCCATAAAAAAGTAAAACCCACAGTATAATTAAAACAGCTCCCTCCAAGGGTTTGGAAAGTTATATGACAATTTACTTGTCAGGTTTTTTTTCTTTTGTTCCATAGTTAAAGAAGATGTAAAGAATTGTTGTGAAATGAAATCAAGGAGAGAAACAAGCTTAACCCCAAATGAACTTGCATTGCAGAAGATGACTGTCAAGTACCTCTACAGAGAGGTCTATCAGTCCCAGAAAAGGAGCCATTCAACAGATAACCTGATAAAAGCCCAGGCTTTCATCTTCGATGGGGGCTTTGTCTACAGATAAATATTTTAAAAAAATAATGGTACTTCACTCATAAAAAGAAAAAATAGGCTGGATAATTACTTGCAGTGTCAATGATGTAGGGATTTACTCATAGGCCTAAATCATTCCACTGTTACTGAGACAAATCCAGTACAATTTTGCCCATTTGCCAAAAATCTCCCAATCCAGGTGTCAGTCCCTGACTCATGTCAGAGAGATGTGTTTTCAGAAAGCAATCCATTATATTCACACCTTCTGCAAGCAAGTGACCCATGTCCTTACACACAAGTAGGGCCAGATGTGGCTTCCCCTTTCTGAGCAAACACTTCAACCTGTGGTCAGGCAGTGCTCCATGTTTACCAGGTGAATAAGGCCAACCAACACAGAAAGTACTGATAAGGTTGTGCAAACAGTGAAACATTTGCCAGAATATCTTTATATAAGCATCATATCTTCCCAGTCAAACTTCTTAATTTTCTTTTCCTGTCCAACTGAGACAGTGTTATAAGAATTTTAAAAATGGCTTATTTGGTCAAAGGAATGAGCCATTTGATTCATGAGAGGAGGATGATACCCATAAGGTAACTACAAACCTGAGAGCTGTCAACAGTCCATTTCTCTCCAGTGTCTATCTTCTTTCTTCACTGTCCCCAAAAATTATACATGTATGTTAGAAGGCACATCCTTCCATGCTCCCTGAAGAATTTCTTACACAACTTGTTCCAGAATTCTGTTACCCACCACACATTTAATTTTTAGTTCAACTTCTTCCATTTCCACAGAGTATCTGTTCTCACATTGAGGATTATAATAATCATCATCAGATAATTATCAGATAATTCAGTCATCAGCCTTGAGATCTTCTGAGATACATTGGATACTCTTTTTAACTGAAGTTTTTCACAAGCCTGACATGGTCTTTAAAGAAAAACTCAAAGGCCACTAAGAGATAGCCTTCCAAAACTAAATTCAGGAATTGCTGCCCAAAAAAATCTCATTCCAAACAAGTATCAACTTGCTCACTTTTAAAGCAATCACAATGCAAAGCTGCTAACACAAAGCTATGTCAGCAGAAAACATGACTGAAGAATGAACAAGGGAGTAAACAAAATAAAGTACTAGCTAGACTTCTCCTTCCCCATCTAAACCACACAGTTCCAGTTATATAAACAGTCACCTGTAGAATGTAGTGAT